TTATTTAGTATTGAATTATTTATAAAGATTGTTATTTCATGTCGTTCACTAAATATTGAATTTGTATGATTCGTGTTCATAGTATTGTTTATAATTTTGTATCATTTCTCTCGTTTGTAATTTTGTATCATTTTTTTCGGGTATTTAGATTTGAATTATATAGTAAATATTGTTACTTTGTGTTATTCATTAAATATTAAATTTATATGATTCGTGTTTGTATATGAATTTAATCTTGTATATTTTAAATGTTAAACATATTTTTTTAATATATCTTTTGATATCTGAGTTACCCAATAACTTTAATTTAATATTGTATATTTTACATGTAAAACATATTTTTTTTGCTAAATTAGACTTTTTGAAAGTTATGCTTTTTTTTTTATTGAGTATGAAAAAAATAAAATTGACTATTGAATTTATATAATTCGAGTTTATAGGAGTGTTTGTAATTTTATATCATTCTTCTCGATTATTTATATTCATAGTATATTTTATAAAAGTGAACGTTGTTTAGTATTAGATTATTTAGTAATGATTGTTATTTCGTGTTGTTAACTAAATATTGAATTTATATGATACGTGTTCATAGTATTACTTATAATTTTGTATCGTTTATCTCGCTTATAATTTTGTATTATTTTTTTTGGGTATTTAGATTTGGATTATTTAGTAAATATTGTTGCTTTGTGGTGTTTACTAAATATTGAATNCAATAATTTGAATTTAATTTTGTATATTTTACGTGTTAAGCATATTTTCTTTGTTAAATTAGATTTTTTTCAAGTTATGTTTTTTTTAATTGAGTTTGGGAAAAACAAAATTGACTATTGAATTTGTATGATTTGTATTTGTAGTATTGCGTGAATGAAAGATAGAGATACATAATAATATTTTCGTAATATACTATCTCTCTCTGTAATATATACTATCTATTTAAAGAGAGATATAGTATTTACTTGAATCAAACACTTTTTAATATTGTGAAAAATTGATATTTTTGGATAAGATATTGTGAAAATTTGATATTTTTGGATGAATTGAGCATGAGATAGAGATATAGAGAAATGAGAGACAGATATTTGCTTGATTTAAGGAAAAAANATAAATCTGCAAATGTTGTCAAATGACTAAATATAACTATCAAAAATTCAACCGACTTCCAAAAGATACGACCTAACTAGTGTTTTTAATTTTATATCATTATTATCGGTTATTTATATTCTTATTATATTTTTTTAAACTAAACGTTATTTAGTATTGAATTATTTAGTAAAGATTGTTATTTCATGTCGTTCACTAAATATTGAATTTGTATGATTCGTGTTCATAGTATTGTTTATAATTTTGTATCATTTCTCTCGTTTGTAATTTTGTATCATTTTTTTCGGGTATTTAGATTTGAATTATATAGTAAATATTGTTACTTTGTGTTATTCATTAAATATTAAATTTATATGATTCGTGTTTGTATATGAATTTAATCTTGTATATTTTAAATGTTAAACATATTTTTTTAATATATCTTTTGATATCTGAGTTACCCAATAACTTTAATTTAATATTGTATATTTTACATGTAAAACATATTTTTTTTGCTAAATTAGACTTTTTGAAAGTTATGCTTTTTTTTTTATTGAGTATGAAAAAAATAAAATTGACTATTGAATTTATATAATTCGAGTTTATAGGAGTGTTTGTAATTTTATATCATTCTTCTTGATTATTTATATTCATAGTATATTTTATAAAAGTGAACGTTGTTTAGTATTAGATTATTTAGTAATGATTGTTATTTCGTGTTGTTAACTAAATATTGAATTTATATGATACGTGTTCATAGTATTACTTATAATTTTGTATCGTTTATCTCGCTTATAATTTTGTATTATTTTTTTTGGGTATTTAGATTTGGATTATTTAGTAAATATTGTTGCTTTGTGGTGTTTACTAAATATTGAATTTGTATTATTTGTATTTGTATATGAATTTAATCTTGTTTATTTTAAATATTAAAACATATTTTATTTAATATATCTCTTGATATTTGAATTGTCCAATAACTTGAATTTAATCTTGTATATTTTATATATTAAGCATATTTTCTTTGTTAAATTATATTTTTTGCAAGTTATGTTTTTTTTATTGATTATGAAAAAAATAAAATTGACTATTGAATTTGTATGATTCGAGTTTATATGAGTGTTTGTAATTTTATATCATTATTCTTGATTATTTATATTTTTAATATATTTTCTTAAAGTAAACGTTATTTAGTATTGGATTATTTAGTAATGATTGTTGTTTCGTGTTGTTAACTAAATATTGAATTTGTATAATTCGTGTTTATAGTATTACTTATAATTTTGTATCGTTTCTCTCGTTTGTAATTTTGTATCATTTTTCTTGAGTATTTAGATTTAGATTATTTAGTAAATATTNGCAAACACATTTCAAAAGAGTTAATGTAGTACGTCGGATTAAAACGATCCGAAACGTCAATACCTCGAGACAGTTTGAGGTAACGTTATCCATTAGATGATTTTTTTTTTAGTCACGAAACGATCTAAACTACTCTTTGTCTCTCAAATTCAAATTTATTTTACTTTATTATATAGATATAAAGAAATGAGTGGCAGAAGTCCGGGGAACACCCACAAGTATTTTGACTATAGTCACCATACCAGTTTATACCTGACCTGACATGGGCCAATTCAAATTGACTGCTTTTGCCGACTTTAGGAAAGGAAGTTAGAGATTTTGATAATATGGCAACAATGGCATCTTTTAAGCATAATAGACGGAATTGAAATAGACTCCTGTGCAAATCTTATCTTATAAAAGTACAGAAATGTGTAAAACATTTGTTTTTTAGTTTTACCCCTCAGAAATATCGTTAGGACATTTTGGTGCATATAAATAAACTTGCTATTAAATCTAAATAATCATAATTAATACATACATCCCTAACATATTGCCCGTAGGCCGTTACTGCACCTTTGGCCTTCTCTTTGCCTTCCTCTCTCTCTCTCCCCACCCCTTGCCTCTCTCTCTCTCCCCCCACCCCTTGCATATTCAAATATGTGCAATAAATCGTCAACTCTTTCAACTTTTGAGAACAATTCTATTTTTTTCCAATGCTCTTCGTGGCTATACAATTTTCGGGCTTCTCTTGATCTGTTACGTGTTCAAGCCTCTATCTCCAGGAAAAAGCTGTTCATGCTCCCTAAGTCATTCTTCTATGCTTGTAGTGAAACTGGTGCGATCCCAGGCTTCATTGAATTGAAGAAACAGCAAAAATGCGGCATAGGCTTCAAACTATTTTTTTGTAAGATGTTTTGATCTTGAATGGGTTTTTTTTTTTTTTTTTCTAATTTCATTATTATGGTTTGGATTTTTTGCAGTTAAATTGATGTCGTTATTGGCGAATCGGTTCGAAATACTCTAGGAATCAAATCCAATAGGATCTGATTAGCCTTAACCTCTTCATACATCAGAGTAAGCTTGTGAAACTTCAAAACCATTTATACTATCACGTATGTAAGACTTTATTTCAATTGAGTCTCCTAAACTACTCCTGCAATCCATTTTTTTATGCTCCCCCTCTATATATATGAATTCTTATATTTGAATCGCATATATTCATTTTTTTTCCATTCTTGAAGTAAAGAAAATTATTTTTCCGTCTTTTTGTTTAGTAGGGATGAAAAATAGCAACGATATATTTTCTATCTAATGTTATTGAATGAAAAATGAAAAGAAAGGAAAGGAAAACATGCATGGTGAGGTAGAGTAGAATTTCAAGAATGCTTGTTTGACTTTGAGAGCGAAATTGTTCTGCTTGTTTCTGAAGTGTAATAGTATACATGGCTGTTGTTTCAGTATGTTTGGTTGGTGATGCTTGGCACTATTTTCTTGAAGGTGTAAAAATTGTGTATGTTAGGTTGCTTTTCTCTGTCCAGTTGGTCTCAATGTGTGATATTTTTTATTTTATTTTTTTGGCATTGTGATCGAAAACTTGATTTTTAAAAAAAATAAATTCTCAACTTATTCTTTGTTTTTGTAGATGTGTGGTAATGGAGTTCGTTGCTTTGCCAGATTTATTGCTGAGCTTGACAGTTTACATGGGAAGCAAAGGTGTGGTCCTTAGCTGTTTTTATTTTTTGAGGTTTTCCTTATCTATGTTGTATATCCTTGCTTAAATACAGCTCCAAGTTAAATCCAATAATGTTTTCTCAATGCCATTGAGGCTTGGCCGGTTTGCTTATTTATGGTGATTGACACCATTAAATTTTGAAATTTCCAAGGAATGGCTAAATTTTGGCCATATTTTCTTTTCATTAGTTGCTTTAACCAATCATTTTGTGATTGTGACACTTCGTTTATTATATCCCATATAGGCAAGAATTGCACCAGAGGACCTAAGTCCTCTGAACCCCATCCTTTTACAACCTGAGCCAAGGGCATGAATATTCAATTTAGTGACACTATTGTGTGAAAGATATTCCCTATATTACAAGGATAGTGTGACTGTGGAACATGGTGATGGGGTGGGTGAACATGGATTTGAGAAAGTGGTGGATATTGTTGCAGGTTCCACTTGTGTTTACAAGCTCTCTATTTGTCAACAAAGAAGCTCGCATCCTCGTTCTTGGCCTTGACAATGCCAGAAAAACCACTATGCTCTGTGAGTTTCTCATTTGAATTTCTTTGTTTTTCGGTTTGGTTTGGAACATTCAAGATTATAATTTTTCATTATAATGTCTTGATTTGGGTTTGCTCAGACCAGCTTCAGATGGGAGAAGTTGTCTCNCTGATATGTTGTTTGGTTGATTTAGGCGAGGTTTGATAACTCCGTAAAATACCTTATTATAGTCTAGATTTCTTCTTCTAAGGTTAATCGTATTTATTTATGATGTTTTGAGAACAACATAGTTTTTGTTGACACAAAAAANGGGTGGGTGAACATGGATTTGAGAAAGTGGTGGATATTGTTGCAGGTTCCACTTGTGTTTACAAGCTCTCTATTTGTCAACAAAGAAGCTCGCATCCTCGTTCTTGGCCTTGACAATGCCAGAAAAAACCACTATGCTCTGTGAGCTTCTCATTTGGATTTCTTTGTTTTTCGGTTCGGTCTGGAACATTCAAGATTATAATTTTTCATTATAATGTCTTGATTTGGGTTTGCTCAGACCAGCTTCAGATGGGAGAAGTTGTCTCCACTATTCCAAGTTGGTACTCTTTTTATGGTCTATTTTTATATATTTTCCATTTCGTTNAAGTCACAATACCTAAGTCTATTACATTCAAATGCTCCTTATGGTTCTCTTTGGAGATCAGGTGAACAATCTTAGTGTCATTGTGAGATTTGGCCCCATGGAAGCTTTGTCTAATGTTGCTGATATAGGTTTCTACTATGTTGCCAAAAAGTTGATTGATATTATGCCTAGGATTCTACAACTAATGCACCTTCATTGTCACCAACAGATCTTACAAGACCCTTGATAGGGCTACTCATATCACTCAATGCCTTCAAAAAAAAAGAAGGTAAACGGATCAAGTGAAGAAAATTAAGGAGGGATGTCTACAAGACCTTTTTAAAAAGCATTCTACATTCATCCAATTTCTTTGTGCATTAAGAAGTCTACTGGGAAAGTTTCCAATGACGAGGACAACAAAGATAAGAAATATATGGAAAAGTAACGGAAACGTGGCCACCCAGGAGTGTTCCTCGGGTGAACAACCAGAAACACATCAGTATGAGCAAAACAGAGCAGATCACCAATGAAAAGTATGTGTATAATTTAAGAGTCTCATCAATGACTATGAGTAGCAATTGACAGTGAAGCAATTTTCAGTTTAGAGATAACTTGAATTCAATGCTTTCACAGTGCTGCAATCTGGGCATAATTCTGGATTAAAGGAGTCCAATGGAATCAATGATCCTTGCTTTGTTATGAAAATAAATTATATTGAAAGAATTATGAGGTTGTGATTTATGCAACAGACCCCTTAAATTTTTGCCCAATTCAGTGCACTCCCAGTTCCCTACCATAACTTGACTCTTACTTATCCTTGACTCCGGTGTATTGTGATCTTGTTTTTCCAATTTCTTGGTCTTTTCTTTTCGGTTCAGTGTTTAATTTGATGGTTTTAAAGTGTATACGTTGAGATTTTGTTCTATTTCTTCAATAAATTGTATTATATGTGTACCCTCCAGTCAACATCATATAGTTCACCTTCCACCATTTGTTGAGTTTCTTCTTGTTTTCTATTTTGTTATCCTACTTTTATTTTGCAATGTTTTACTTTACACAATATTTTAAAAATTGACCAAATCAATGATGTTTCATATGTAGTTGTACTTACTGCCATCAATTGGATTGTCACAACAGTTTCAGTGCCCAAATATGTAGGCCAGATCAATAACAGATGGTAAGACACACTTACCATGTTGTCAGAAGTCTAATGGCATTCCAAACATCTTATTCATTTTAGCTACAAGGCTTTTCTTTGTCTCGCATCTTCAATGTCATCGCCTGTTAGTTTTCTTTAGTGAGAAACAGACAAAGAGATCCAAAGAAGAGAATGGAGATTTGTTAATACAATAAACTTGTTGAGCTAGCCGACAAACTAAGCATATAAAGCTGAAACAACTGGGTAAATATTTACATATATTATAAAATCAAATCAAGCCATTAAGCACCTCCATATAAAATGTGTCATAATTAAGCTACATGATTGAGGTGGTCTTTATGACAATCCCAATTTTGCCAAATTCATCTTGTGAAATAATCGCTTGTCATTTCAATTATAAATTTATTCCTGAATGAAGGAACTTATTATTACATATCATCGAACACAACCAAAAAAAAAAATTATAGCTTAAAATGGTCCACGTGCAATGCACGCGTGCACCAACTAGTACAACCAAAAGCAAACAAGAAGTTAGGTTTACAAGGGCAGCCACATCCTAATTCTCTCTCTCTCCCTCTACTTAGGCTTTCGACATGTAATTATAGCAAATTTGATTAGATCCTTTTTGTATCCCTGGATCATCAATGGCATTGCCAATGCCCCCTTTATGGTCTTCCATCCTGATCCACCAGGAAACATGATACAGAAAACATACATAAGTGACTGGAGATAATTGAAAAGTATTTGTGCCAGCCCATGAACTACACACAACTTACCACTTCGCAGCAGCAATGATGTGAGGCCCTTCCATGTCAATGCTGATCTAATAACTGCCGGCCAAAATGGGGCAACATACTGAGACCAATCCGCTGCCTTAATATCCTGCCACAATATCTCAGATTATTGTGATTTTTAGATACATATATAAACCTAAATAGCACATAAAAATTATTCACAGGAGTATGTCACTCAAGGTGAAGTAGCCAATAGATCATGTTGATTAGAGATTCAGATCAGGTGATCAGCAGCAAAAGCATCCTTTCGAGTGAGCGTGATATAGTCCAGTAAAGAAGCACACACATACCTGAAGAGAGAGGGATTCAAGTAATTTGACATAATCGGCAGTAGAACACCATGCTGGGAGAAAATAAGCATCACATATCTTGTTTAGTAGCTCTTTTTCCTGAGGCTGCAAGGATTCCTCAGAAGCGGAAAGATCCCTATGGCACCATGTAACTATTATTATTGTGGCTCCTGGGGCAGCCACTCGAGCCAACTCACTAACAAACTACCAAATTAGCAAGTCAGAGTCTATAGACATGAGATAGCCAAACCAAAATAAAACTTCAAGCATAAATGCTACTCTATGGCTCAATGAGTTGAGCTCATGGGTAATCGAAAAAATGTATCGGAGTTGAAAAAAGAAAAAGAACCTTTATCTTGTCAGGCATGTGTTCTCCACTCTCCATGGACCAAACTAGATCAAATTGTCCATCAGGAAATGGTTGATTCAAAGCATCTGCAACTTGAAAGGAGACCTGTTAACAGATCATCATTGTTGGTTTCAATAATCCACACAAAAAGAAGATTTTGTATTTGGAGTGGGGGTGAGGGGAAGAGAAAAAGAAAAGGCTAATCTATACTACTAATAAAAGGCAACTAACGAGAAAAAGTTTTGATTTCCACAAAATGAAGGAAAGAGCACTAAATGCTTTTTTGCATAGGTCTCAGCGTTTATGAGATTCCTTTTCTGGGAAGTTCTTGAAGCAGTATATATGAGGCGCCTTTTAAGTATTATGTAATATTTGTCTTTGTCCAAATAGATGGAAAATTACAAAAACGAAGCACCTAGTGTTGGTCAGTTCTATTGTTTTTTGTCATTGAGAATGATGCTTAATGACTTTTGCTGTAGAATCTCCCCAGCTAATCATGAGAATATCCACTAATTTGTTACTCTTTTAGAGATGAGGAGCATTTATCAGTTCATATTAGTGAGTTGCATTTTGAATGAGCCCACCATAAAACTTACAGTATCATGTGCATTTGGCACAACTTTAGCTCACTGGTCTGTTTGCCGTGGGGTTTCTTTGATGCCACTGAAACATCATTTGCTGGCATATAAGAGTTAGTTTGATAGATGCATCTTTATTATTGTTTTGTTCTATGGTGTAATTTATGAATCGGAGTTTGCCAAGGTTGTGTAATTAATCTCTCGGCCAAAATAAAAACATCCAAAAAACTTTTCCGCGATCTATGAGGATCATGAACATAGTGAAACAGGGCAGCAAGAAAGATGACAAATAGGCGACATGCACACTCTCAATTCCCAAGGGGGTTGATATACTTTTTATCTAGGCCTGAAAGTTCATCAGTACATCAAAAATGGTTTACAATGATGGTGGGGAATCAAACTGTCTTCAAACTTTTCAATTTATGCAAAGTTGATTTCTCTTTGGTTAAAAAATTACCATAGGACAAGTTGTTTCTATTTTTTCTTTTGCTACAGTTGGGATCATCCCGTGGATCTGTAATATATATTTCAGTATCACCATTGCTATTTTTTGGTAACATATATTTCATTTTATTTCTAATAATTCCAGTCGTTTAAAGTAGCAGCAAACTTAGCATGTTAGATAACTAAATTTGATTGAAGGAATACTGCACTTGAGTAGAGTGTCTACATTGTCTTCTAGATAATGAGGTTTGTCTAGGTATGTTATGCTAGGCAGGTCAATAGAGTATGTTTGATGGCTTTTTAACTAGAGTCACAACCATCGCGACAGACTTGTAAACTTTGATAAAAGCAAAGAGAGAAAGAGGAGAGACAATAGAGAATGATTGTATTACTTCATAATAGAAAAATGCATACAAAAGACCCTTATATAGTAGGACAACATAAAAGAATAAAAGGACTAAACTACCCTTAAAATTAAATATTCTAACTACTCTAACACCCTCCCTCAAACTCATGATGTGCTAGCAGAAAACATCAAGAGTTTGCCAAGAAGAAAACGAAAGCGAGTAATAGTATGCAATTTTGGGAAAAAATCTGCTAACTGTATAGTGGAAGAAAGAAAAGGGAGGGAGATAGTGCCCAACTGAAGATGATGACGCATAAAGTGACAATCAATCTCAATATGCTTTGTGCGCTCATNCATGATGACGCACAAAGTGACAATCAATCTCAATATGCTTTGTGCGCTCATGAAAGACTGAGTTATAAGCAATCTGAATAGCACTAGTATAGTCACAATACATAGGAGTCGGCGCAGATAACATGATGCTAAGATTAGCAAGGAGCCATCGTAACCAAACCATCTCAGCTACAGTAGATATCATAGCACGATATTAAGCTTCAGCAGATGAACGAGAAACAACAANAAACTATCTCAGCTACAATAGATATCATAGCACGATATTAAGCTTCAGCAGATGAACGAGAAACAACAGTTTGCTTCTTACTTTTCCAAGAAACAAGAGAATCACCAAGGAAAATACAAAAACCCGTAGTGGACATACGGTCCATAGAGTCACCAGCCCAGTTAGCATCAGAATAAGCCCTGAGTTCCATAAAAGAAGAGGAGGAGAATAACAAACTCTGGTGCAGAGTACCTCGAAGATACAGAAGAATACGAAGAACCACAGCCCAGTGAACAGTGGTGGGTGAGGCAACAAATTGGCTAACAATATGAACAGCATAAGAGATACCCTGACGAGTGACTGTAAGATATACTAAACTCCCAACAATAGCACGATAGAGCGTAGAGTCAGACAGGGGAGTACCATTAGAAGAAGAATAACGAACATTGAGCTCTANTGTAGGGTCAGACAGGGGAGTACCATTAGAAGAAGAATAACGAACATTGAGCTCTAAAGGTGTTTCAACTATCTGATTATCTGATAAACGAGCTCGTTGAATAACGAGCTCGTTGAATAACATCTGAAACATACTTGGACTGAGAGAGAAGATATCCTTTAGGAGAGGATGAAATCTCAATACCCAAGAAATATCTAAACTGTCCCAAATCTTTCATCTTAAAATGGTCCTGTAATTGAATTTTCAATAAGCATATGCCAGCAGTGTCATCACCCGTAATAATCATATTATCAACATGTAGTAAGAGAATAATAGAACCTGAGAAAGTAGACCATAAAAAGAGAGCATAATCATGGTCACTGGCGCGAAAATCCAAGTCACAAATAACCGTAGAAAATTTGGCAAACCATGCCCTGGGAGCCTGTTTAAGGCCATATAAAACTCGGTGAAGTCGACATATTTGACCAGGACTATGAGACAATCCAGGAGGATGAGTCATAAAAACCTCTTCACTTAAATCCCCATGAAGAAATGCATTTTTCACATCCATTTGAGACAAATTCCATTGGCGAATGGCAGCAACTGCATTCACAGTGTGAACAATAGTCATCTCTGCAACAGGGGCAAAAGTCTCATCATAGTCTATACCATACTCCTGAGCAAAACCCTTGGCTACTAATCGAGCTTTATACCTTTCCACAGAACCATCAGACTTGGTTTTTATCTTATAAATCCACCTACAACCAGTGGGGCGTTTACCAGGTGGTAAAGGCACTAGTTCCCAAGCTCTGGTCTTATGTAAGGCATACAACTCCTCTTCCATAGCCTGTTTCCAAAGTGGATCAAGTAAAGCCTCCTTGTAGGAGGTCGGTTTAGATAAGGAGTAAATAGAAGTAAGGAAAGAACAAAAGTCAGAAAAATAACAAGTGTTACTCCAACCAAACCTGTTTGGACATTTGCGAGAGCGCTGAGGATAGCGCGGGATATGATCCACATTGTCTAAACCTGATTGGGTGGCAGGAGAAGAAAGGGGAGGCACCACATTTGTAGAGGAGATAGCTGAATTTCTGCGAACATATGTATGCACAATAGGGGGACAAGTGATGGGTACATTAGAAACAGTCATATCACCAACATAAGTGTCAGAGGGAACATCAGCCAGAAATGGGTCAATATAAATGAGATCAGATTTATGCAAATGTGAGGAACTAGATGGAATAGAAAAGAAAGGAATATGCTCCATGAAAATAACATGACGAGAGACATAGAGTTTGTGTAAAACAGGATCATAGCAACGATACCCCTTTTGACTCTCACCATAACCAAGGAAAACACATAAAACTGAACGAGCAGAGAGCTTAGTACGAAGAACACTAGGAAGCAAAACAAAACAGGTGCTTACCACATAGTTTTTCAAATGGAGAAATTCCAGAGGTGATGACAGTGGGAATAGAATTAATCAGATGGACTGCAGTAAGAACTGCTTTCCCCCAAAAAGAACTTGGGACATTTGCTGACAGTAAGAGAGAGCGTGCTATCTCCATAATATGTCAGTGTTTGCGCTATGCTATACCATTCTGTTCAGGTGTATCACTACAAGAAGATTGTCAAATAGTACCATCAGATTTTAATAGATCACGAAAAGAGTTGAAAGAATATTCTCCTTCTTGGTCACATCGAAAACATTTAATAACAGATGACTATTGAGTACGTATCATAGCACGAAAAGTAGTGAATACAAAAAAGAATTCAGAATGATGTATCATGAGATAAACCCAACAAAACCTAGTATAATCATCAATGAAAGAGACATAATATTTTGACCCTCCTTTTGTGGGAATAGGAGTCGGTGCCCAAACATCAGAATGAACCAGATCAAAAGGTGCAAGTGAGCTAGTGAAACTTTTATTAAAAGGTAATGCAGTAAATTTAGCTAACTTGCATCCACTACAACTGAAAATATCATGACACTCTAAATTACCCAAATTCCCAATAGAGGCTAAAAATTTTAAACGAGAGTGGGACACATGACCAAGACGAGAATGCCACAAATAGAAACTAGAAGACTGTGGACTTAAATGAAAAGAAGATATATCAACAGTAGAAGCAACAATGTCAGGAATATGTAACTCGTCTAACACATACAATCCTCCCTTTCTACTGCCTGTCCCAATCAATTTCTTGGAACATGGATCCTATACAATACAACCAGAAGAGGAAAAATGAACTGAAAATCCAAAGTCAAATAGTTGAATGACTGAAATTAAATTTATGGTAAGCTGTGGAATATAATAAACATCAAGAAGTGTTAGATACGGAGAAATTATAGATCCAACACCAGCCAATGACATTTGCGTACCATTAGCTGCAAGCACAGAAACAGATGGAGGAGAAAAAATAGATGCAAATAAGGAAGAATCACTTGTCATATAATGGGTAGCACCTGAGTCAAAGACCCAGGCGGTTCGAGATATACCTGAAGGACCCGAAGTGAACGAACCTATAGAAATTGAGATGGAGAGAGTATTAGGCTGTTGAAGGAGCTCCTGCACTTGATCAACAATCTTAGTCAATTTTAAACTAATTAACAGATGAGAGCCATAATTGTCACTAGCCAAAAATAACAACAGTCAAATTAACGGAACCAATTCC